TCCAGCCTTTATTGGTTCTTACCATCACGAGGACCCTAGCGAGTCGGCTAGCCTACAGCTCCCTACGTGGCTATCTGGATGACTTAAACTAACTGTTGTGGATTCCATTGACTGATGAAGCCATGTTTTGGTTTGACTACCACTAGCTACTTTACAACCTGATCTTATGCCAGTAAGCTAATATTTCCCGTCGAGGAAGGCGATGGCTACACAGGCCTGCGTAACACGTGTTCTAATCATCTCAGTTGATGTAGCTACATAGCTCCGTCGGTTGATTTACCCTGACCTCAAAATTGCTCACTCTATTATACCACCTAACATGGGAGACAAAACACAGACACCCATGATCAAAGACAGCTGGGTTTTCCATATCTTACATTTTCCACAGCCATACAGGAGGACAAGCGAACTGCTGAGCAGTACACACGTCGTTTGTTTGACAGCCGGATATCACTTCTACTAAGCCAGAGATGGTGTAAGTTGGTTAATAAATGCCAAATGAGCCTTCTGTATCCATGATGAGCTTTCGTCAGGGATCAACCCACTGGCGCTGGCTGATGCCATTTTACAAGTAGGTGAATCGGTCAACACACTCTATCAACCACTTCACTCCCTATCTCTAAGCTAGGAGTCAATGTAGTCCAGGCGAATCGCATGCCAAACATTCGAAGATTTCTGCCTGCCAAGGTGTTCAGAAGACTTTGCATTGTGTCAACATCTTCACCTAGGAGGGTGGACTACATCATCTGCATATTCTAAGTTAACGAGATTAATCCCTTATGGTAACAAGTCAATCCCTGAGTCACTGAAGTCAGTTGGGGTTAATTCCATTAGTACATCTATGATGGAATTTAAACAGGAATGGTGACAATGACAACTCTCATAGGCTGTCACCTGGCTGGCTGGCTGCATGAGTTCGATTAGAGTGCCTTGATCAATGTGATGTATTTTATCGGCATTCTCTCCATGGCTAAACATTGCCATAATATCTCTTGATCGACGGAATCAAATGACACTTTCAGGTCAAAAAATATGGTAACTGTTGGACGCCAGGAATAAGTATGCCTATTTTTCAGAATATCAGTGGTGCTCGAAGTGAAGTGATGGCCGAGGAGTCAGTTGGATCTCTTAGCATAGCTGATAGGAAGTCGCTGCCCTGGATCCTACCACTTTCAATTATTCCCCATTATATCAATATGATACAGGGTGATCAAGAAATGATGTCTTTCAACTAACGATACAGATAGGCTTATATTGGTTATTCCATGGAGAGAAGTTGGTATTACGCTGTTTACCTGCTAGTCTTTAATGCAGTCTTCATATTTTTTATAAATCTGGTATATTATTACTGTTGTACTAGAACACTTTGTAGATTACGTAAGAATATTTATTACTGATTGATTGAGATCAGTAGTTGTGTACCACTCACATCAATCGACGGTCTTTGCCAGCCAGATCGAAATGATTTAAAGACTGGATGGCCGTTTCGCTCGTTTGAGACTTATCTCACCGTTGGCCTACCTTCTTTAGATAGATTACAGTTCCTTAATATTTAGTATTAGGATTTACTTTCAGATAACTGACAGCTAACATTGACTCATAAAAGAACTTTAGTAATAGTAAAATTAAGCAGTGGTTATCCGTAGAATCCTAGAGGTGCATTCCCGCCTTATTTGAGACTCATAATCTGGATATATTTGCATTTCAGCTAATATCACGGAAACTAGAACTCAACGTCAACCATTTAAATCCGGATATTATTCTTTGCCTAACAAATATAATGAATACATTTTAGTTGAATTTTAGATTTTCCCGTCGATTGGTTGGACACAAATGCTCCGTCTCAGGTTGACATATCGGCTTCTTGTGCAGATGCTTCGACGATGTCTGGGCATGTAATTAGAATTAAACTGGTACATGGTGACTATCAGTGGGATCTAGGATGCGCATTTCGTCTTACTTAGGACTCGGCAGCTGGATGTCCCTGCACTCCTCAGTGAGTGGTGATGTTCCCAGCGAGGCTCGAACTCAGTGCCCATAGTTTCAAACGCCAAAGCGTTATCCGCTAGACCACTTGGGCCATGAGCCTCGGTGGGAACATCATCACTCACTAGGGAGTGCAGGTATATCCAGATAACGAGTCTCAAATAGGATGAAATGCGCATCCTGGATTCCACTGCTAGTCACCATCCACCAATGAAATAATGAATACATATCGGAGAAATTCATATCAAACTATAAGTGCTTGAGGCAAGAAATAAAGTATTTCATAAACCTTTATGTTCAGTTTTGCTTACATACTGATGACACTATTGTTACATATTAAGATGTTACACTGAAAATGTGCAACACATAAATTATCATCATTTTCTAACTACCATTATTATTTCCGATAAGTACAATAACTTTACCGTTATGTTTGAACTTTTACTGCTGTGAAGAATAGATTATGAACTCATGTCAAGAATCTTAGTCTTAGGATATTATTATTATTGTTTCCTTTAATTCCTAGAGGAACATAGGGCTTCAGCCGTACGTCTCCATTGCGTTCGGCTCTCTTCTAGAGTCTTCACATGGCTTCAAGTCTGTCCACACGTTTTCATCTCCTCTTCACACGACCTCCTCCAAGTCACCCTTGCACTGACAACCAACTCGCCGCTTCCCTTTTGGGTTCCACTCGAGCGATGGCTTGTCCAGTGATGTCACTTGATGGTTTCCTCAGAGTACGACCAGCCAATCCATCTTCATTTCTTCCTGCCTATTTGTTTCACAATCGGTTCCTGGTTGAGTCTTAGGATGAACAAGTGTTTTTCGTTCGCCATGATGTCATGATTTATGCATGTGCGTTGGTGGCACAGCGGTTAAAACTCTCACCGATCATTCACATGGACCGGCGTTCAATCCCCTGCCGACACATATCTGATATCTATGGTCGGCCTGCAAAATTTGGGCAACCGATATCACTTGCTGAAAATTCCAGTGTGGAATCAAGCTGCAATCAAAAATAAAAATAAAATAAAAAAATATTACTCATGCAGTTAAAAGAATTTAAGTTCAAATGCATTTGCAATTTGAATTGTTTAATACTTTGAAAGCAGAACAACAGAACAATGAATTAACATTGTAACACTACCAATGAGTTCTTTAATCCATTTAAAAATCACGCTTCTCGTGCATCTGAATTATAGCAGCTTAGTCTTTATTTCAAGAATATTTGTTCTCTATCTGCATGTGTTAGATATTTATCGAATAATAACATCAGACCAACTGATCATTGCGTTTATATAGAGCATTAATTTTACTTATATGATAAACGACTGAATGAAAGGCATATGTTGCTCATCTAATTCGTTTGTGAAACAGTCAAAAGTGCTCAAGTGTTGGTTTGAAGGAATTGATCTGATTGGTTTGAAATTAGATCACAAAATAATATCAGTTACAGAACCATTGAAAACAAGGGAGGACTGGAAAGTTGTCTCATCCTAGTCAAGAAATCTTCTGCAGTAGGCACCTATTCTGCCCACGGATAGGGATCGAATCCATGACCTCCAGGTTGCCTTGTGATATCTGCGATGGAATTCAATAACTCATGAGTTTGACTGGATGGAGGATTTTATCATGAGCTGACATCAGTTAAAGAACCATTGGAAAACCTGGAAGTACTGGACAGCTGTTTCGTCCCACTAGTTTTGGACTCTTCAACAGTATGCACCCACCGGGGTTTGAACTCAGGACCTTACTGCCGACGAGTCTCAAACTAGGACGAAACAGCTGTCCAGTACTCCCAGCTGGTTACTCAGTGGTTCTCTAACAGATGTCAGCTCATGATGAAATTCTGCATTCACTGGAACTAAATCCCTACAAAACCAGTACTTGAAAACTCATGAGTCCTAACTTCTGTCAGTTTGCTACATATAGTATCACCACGAACGACTAAAATTGGTGAGTATTTATCCTAAAAGTCAACCTGGTAGACAGTACATTTATAATTAATTCATGAATTTGAGTGTTACACCACAAATGACAATTACTACTCATTCGATGCATGCCTTACTAAATCAATATCTTTCTTTCTTTTACATGGTCCCACTATCATTGACGGCATAGAGGTTGAAACTGCATCTAATGTCAAGTACACTGGACTTAGTATTTCCTCCGATCTTTCCTGGTCCTCTCACATCTTGCTAGTTACTAGAAAGATGTTTCGCTTAACGTTCTACGTTAAGAAGTTTAGACAGTCTGGTATAAAGCAGTCTTTGCTTTCTCAGTTTGTCAATTCCTGTATTCTACCCATCCCTCTTTACTGCTCCCCATTATTCTTTCCTGGACTACTTAAGAAAGACTTTGCTTCGCTGCGTAGGGCACTAAAAGTTGTTAGTAGGGGAAGTGGGATTTCGTTAAACCAACTGGTTAACACCATTGTGGATAGACATATAATGTCATGTAAGAAACTAGCGATTTCTATATTGTCAGACCCCGAACACCCTCTCTATACGCAGCTCTCTCCTTGTATTTCATCTGGTAGAACTAGAAGCAACTACAGGAGGCTATATGCCAGGACTACTAAGTACAAAAGCGCCACAATACCTTATCTGGCACAGCTGTTATGTGATGAGAAATCCGTTAGGTATGACACGATCAACTTACTGCGGCACTCTAACAAATAGTTCCCATTAGCTTTTGTTCTCCTTTCTTTGTTACTATTATATTGTTGCTCACATATTCTATTACACACTAATTTTATATTTCATATCCTGTGGTGCATTGTTTAAATATGTGAATGCAATGCTGTTCTTTTTTGTTTCTTTTATTTATCTTTTTTTCTTTTTGTTGTTGTTGCTTTTTATTTCTAAAATCTTATAAAAATTAATGAGGTAATTAGATGCAATATTGTAATGCACGCTGAAAATTCCATACCTGTACCACAAATACTGTTTGAAATAAAGCTATTATTATTTTTTTTAAAATTATTTTAATTTTTTTTATTTTTCTGCATTCAGCGTGTCTCTAACTATCTCATACTGAGTTTGGCCATAGCAGATTTAATGGTGGCTACCTTGGTTATGCCTGTTAGTGCTTTGAATGAAGTATCAGAAAAATGGTGGCTTGGTAAGTCATTTCATACTGGTGACAAACATTTATTTTTAAATTAAAGTCTGTTATTGATTTAAATATATATTTAGAAGCTAAGTTTTTTTGTACAGTATGCTGTCAGATCATATCTGAAATGACATCATAACTCAATACATGAATAAAATGAGTCTCACTCACAGTTATTTTTAAGTAATTCGCTATCTACAGAAGGCGTAGATTAAAATTATGCGCTTTCTTTTAAGGTCTACCTAAGATGAGCATACGTTCGATTGACACAGAGAGATACTAAAAGATCTGGAATTCCTGGATGATCCATGTCCTTGTCGTGCAAACTTGACGATCTACAGAGAAAACCAAACACGTTGTCATAAGAAACAGAGGAGATAGGACTTTCGCGGAACATATAGAAGACGGTAGTGATGAATAGGCCTAACCAACAACAACATGTACCAATAACTTAACTCGACTTAGATTTTTCCGTCGAAATGCTTGGTCTCAGGTTGACACGTTGGACTCCTTGTGCAGATGCTTTGACCTGAGACCGAGCACTTCGCTCCAATCAATCGACGGGAAAATCTAAAATTGAATCAAACAATGAATAGCATCAGTTGCACAAGAGGTGGCTATCGTGACCCCAGTGGTCTTGTGGTCTAGTCTTGGCATTTAGAGCTAGGGGCACTGGGTTTGAGCCTCGGTGGGAACAGCATCACTCACTGGAGAATGCAGGTACATCCGGATGACGAGTCCAAAATAGGACGAAATGCGCGTACAAGATTCCACTGATAGCCAGCATCAACCAACGGACTTCAAAATACCAATAACCATCAACAGGAGAAATGTAAATTAAATAATTCCTGTTTATCTACAATGCCTGAGCAGCATCGTTTCAACAGCGGAAAACACGGATGAACCTTCGTTACGCTAGAATCAGTGTGAAAATTTGATGTACTTAGAGAAAGAAACAAGGCCTGAACCTTCAGTAGTAATCTCAAAAGGGTGCTTTTGCATCATTCGGAGACTTGAGGTGTCATGAAGAGCATTTCTGACAGCCTACTTCAGGTTTTCAACAGTGGCTTCCCCCTTAGCTCCATACTGGAAATCAGGTGGCCAGAATGGAAAAGCATTAGCGAACTCTGACAATAAACCAACTGGGAAAATGTTTAACAAAAAGGAAAATGAAGACAGATTGGATATGCACTTAGAAGACTATTGGATAAAATCATGGGCCAGGCTGTCGAGAGGAAAGCGAATGGTAGGCAACAAGTTGGTTGTGAGTCTAAGTGTTATACTGAACAGTGAAATGATGACGGACTTCTTAAGCCTTGTGTTCCACATGGAGCCCATGAGAATAGTAATAATGATAATGTCTTCTGTATAAATTTTAAAGAATTTTTGATTTCAAAATCTTTTCCAAGCCCAGAGCCACACAAATTATACCGTCTTCAGCAGGTCTATTCACAAAGCCGACCAATCACCATTGCTTAGGATGGATACTGAACAAAGAGTACTCTTTTCGATAACTTCGTCATCAGGTTCTACAGTTACATATACATTTTAGTGAATGAATGAATTAGTGTTATGAGCAACATTAATGATGTTTAAATAACATCGAATCAATAATATTGATGGATTACAGCCCAGTAGCATCAACATAACAATAAAATGAATGTCAGAAAAACTATGAAAGATAATATTACAAATTCATGAGTTTACAGTCTCTACTGAAAGCCGGCCAGGGCAGTAGTGGCTGCTGGACTTGTTTCTTTTGAACACAGAGCACTGGTTGTTCGAGGCGAATCGCAATAGCCTCTGCTGTTTGGAGCATGCGGTGCTTCGATGATTTTGGCAATTTATTAGGCACCCGGTAGATTATAGAGAAGGACTCTTCCACGTTGGCTTTGTGACCGGTTTGCACCAGATGGTCAAATATCGAACTGTCAATGGTTTTAACTACACTTTTGCTTAGCCATAATGGGACATGTTCTCGAGCACGAAAATTCAAGTTCCTAGGGCAACGGCCAATATAAATCGCCCCACAAATACATTTTGTTTAGCTTCACCGCTTCTGTATACAGTTACATGTTTAGCTGCCTCTCTGGAAGAAGTTTCATACTGCAGGGGAGTAAGCAACCCTATGGATGCATTACTAAACACCTTCCTTTATTGATCGTAAATTTTCTACCAAAATTAACAAGAAGCTCAGTTTTCTGTCGTCTGGACAACAGAGGTTATTGAACGAACAAAAACTGGGCTTTCATGACTGTTTATAATATTTCATTACATCCTTTAGATAGAATTCAAACCCATTTTTTATACATAGCCGAAGCTGTAAACATTTTGCAGCGTAACTGTAGTCTGTGTTTACGAAAGCAGTTTTTCACTCTTTGTATCTCCCTTGTCCATCGCTTGAATTCCGGAAATTCCTCTGTTTTATTATAGTACTGTGTAACTCCTAATTTAATCATTATTATCACAGCTTGCTGTATCAACTTCTTGTTCCAATGTTACTATTGCCATTGTTACTATTATCACCATCACGTTTACTTTTTTTATTCTAATCCTTTGCGTTCCAAGAGGGGCATCAGGCTTCAAGCTTGAGCTCTGGCATTTCAGTAGCAGTGGTGTTTTTTCCAGGGGAAACTTGCGAGCCAGCCTTCCGTCTTTACTACCGTCTAAGTGAGATTTAGCAGTGCTTCATTCGAGGATTGAGCTCCGGACCACTTGAGTGGTCGGCAAGCCTTCTACAGCTGAGCGACCGACGCGTCACTTTTAATATCGACATAATTTAACATATTCAGCATTTATCATTGACGCCCAGATCACCGTCTCCACCTTAACTTTCGTACACATTTAAAGGTACGTATATATTATACTTAAGCTTTATGAATAACTAAATGAAACCGATATATCGTTCGCCTATATGGAGTACCCCAAATCTTTACTAAGCTCATTCAACAGCTGCCTAATAGTGTCAGATTTCAAGTGAAACACAATGGAGAACACAGTGAAGTCTCTGAAGTGGAAACAAAAAGAAGACAAAGCTATCAACTATCACTGGTTATATTCGTAGTTTTTGGTGGACTAGAAGCGGCTGCAGTTTTGTATCATAGGGTGGGGGGGCTAAATTTGTTCGCTGCACCTTCCTAGATTACACATATGCTTTCGACCCAGCACCTAGAAACATTTTGTTAAACAAGCTTGCTGAAACTCAAACTGACTGTTGGGTTGTCAAATGGCTGCATTCTTATTCCTCAGGAAGAAAGAAGTACACTGTATTCCAGAGAAACTCGTCCACTTCATTGCGTACTGAGGCTGGTGTCCCTTAAGGTGCTGTCCTTTCTCCTTTTCTGTTTTCTCTCTTCTTGCATGACCTGCCTCACTCTGATGATGAAATGAACTTTGTTAAGTATGCCGACGATCTAACTATTTCAGTGTCTGTTAACTCCCAGCCAGAATGTACTAAGATGAACAGCTTTCTATAAGGAATTAGCAAATAATCTTCATCTAACAGTCTTAAACTAAATCCTTCCAAACTTCAGACTGTTAATTTCAATTTTTGATGTAAACGAAAGTTAAATGGAAGCCGTTGGTTCCTATGACCCTTGCAAAATTGATGATACTGATGTAGAAACCAAGTCTGAAGTTAAGTATCTTGGATTGATTCTTTCTACTGACCTATCCTGGTCTTCCCATGTCTTGGCGATCTCTAAACGAATATTCCGTCTGACATTTTACATTAAGAAGTTAAGGCACTCAGGCATAACTAAACCACTCCTCTTACAGTTTGTCAACTCGTGTATTTTACCTATTCTTCTTTACTGTTCACCCTTATTCTTTCCTGGATTGCTTAAAAAAGACTATGTCATACTTCGTAGAACTCTGAAGACTGATCGTCAGTAGGGCGAGTGGCATCCCATTGGGCCATATCGTTGATATTGTCACTGATAAACACTTGATTTCGTGCAACAAACTTGCTAAAAGAATTTTGTCAGACTCTGAGCACCCACTTTACCCGCAGCTCCAACCTTGTGTCTCGTCAGGTAAAACAAGAAGTCATCTCAGAAGAATTTATACACTTACGTCTAGGTATAAATATTCCACTATACCATATTTGGCACGTACTTTATGTGATGAAAATAGTGTCAGGCATGAACTAACTAACCTTCTTTGCGCTACTAAATAAACCATTTTCTCCACCCTTACATCAACCTTTATTGTTACTGTACTTCTTATATTTATAATCCCGTCAAGTTTTTGTTTTCTATTTGTTTATTTTTTTAATAAGTGTGAACATCATTTAAGCTGTGTTATAACTGTTAATTTTGTATTTCCCTTCACCAGACTGTATCAATAGAACATTAGATTCAATAATCTATAACATGCTAAAATATCCTAACTGAATCGACAATACTGTTTGAAACAAACCCATTATTATTATTATTATTATTATTATTATTATTATTATTATATTAGATATTCTCAGTTCGGGTTTCGAATATTTTTGACTTTATATCGTAAACGTGGACAAATTCCTCTGGTTGATTTTGTTTTAATTTTATTTATATTTCAAGTAAATCAGATGGAATATTGTGACAAATGCTGAGAATACCATTTTGTATTATAATTACTGTTTTTGGAATAAAGTAGATTATTATTATTATGAGTTAAACCATATGGACCAGGAAAACCGGAATAAGTTGGACCAATAAGATAACTTCAGAAGATCTGGACTCCGCCAATAATTCATGTCTAATACAACATAAATTCAGAGAATTACGGGTGAAAACAAACAACTTGACAGAAGAAGCTGCCAGCAAAGACAGAACTTCAAGTGAACATAGAGAAGACAGGGGTGATGAACACACCCAACGAATAGCATTAACAAGCATAAATCAACGAAAGAAATTTGGAAGAGGACACTTCCATAACTTATCGAGGCAGCATCGTTTTAACTACAGTCAGTCGAATGGATGCCGATGTGAAAGCCAACTAGAATCGGAAAGGCAAAATAGATATTCAACACTCTGAAATCAGTTTGGAAATCTTCTGCCCTCAGAGTGAAGAACCAAATTCTAATTTTCAAAATCAATTTTAAGTTAGTGACTTCTTCTATATGGCTTGGACACCTGGCGCTCGTCTCACAAAGAGCATTTCTAGAAGACTACTGTAAACCTTAATCAACAGCTGCCTTCACTCGCTGCATACTGAAGATCAAATCTCTGGCCAGAAGACATTAACAACAAGGAACTCTGGGAATGAACCAACGAAACACCTAATGAACAACAAATATAATGAAGAAAATAAAGATGGATTGGGCAAAAGTTGAGGAGACTGTTGGCCAGACCTAACGGGAAACGATGAGTCGAGTGTGAGTCTAAGGGTGACATGAAGGAGATCGAGCGAGAAGGAGATGAAAACCCATAGGCGATTTTGAAGCCAGCTAAACACCGCTTCAGAAAGCAGGATGAAATGGAAACGTGTTGTTGAAACCCTGTGTTCCACCTGGAATCCAATGCAGTAATAATAATAGTAACGTATTCTTGAAATAACTAAGCGTTAAAAAAATTAATGTACCATGATTAAGCACAGAGTAAAGGCTCTTCCGTGTATTTACATACTTGTAAATAAATGTTAGTTTGGCTGATAGTGACTAACAGCTGAATTCAGTATAAGCGTTGGGTCCTATTTGGGTTCTATCAGGTAGTTAGTGGATATATACCTACAATCCTTAGTGAGTGCTGTTGTTCATGCTGGGACGCCAACCATGAACTCATTGTTTCAAATGCCAGTGGACCAGGAGAGCCATTTCTTTGGCAACAGATATCAGTTATTATTTATTTAAGTTAGTTTGAGTTTCCCAATGCTTGATTATGCTGGACTGAAAGGCTCGTTCTTTGTTGACATGTTGGTTCTTTGTACGAAAGCTTTGACGATGTCTGAACACTAACATAATACTATTTTAATTGGATATATCTAACAAACAAAAAAATCACTTTCACAGAAAATTAATGCTGTGAACTACTGGAACACAAATGAACAGTGGTCAAGTAGTGCTGCTATAGTTCACCGGATAAATAGATAACATTGTAATATTTTAATGAGAAAAAAAATAATGAGAAACTTCAGAAAATGTTGTTTACATTCTTGATATAAGTATAAAACTTGGGCACTGTGGTAGAGAATAACTCCATTATGGATAAGATTTTATTTTGATAAATAAAAAAGTTTTATACAGTAGTAATACTTGCTGATGATCAAGTTTCAAGCACAAACTATTGCCATTCATAATCATGTCAAGTCACTACTCACACAACTTTTTACTTCATTTACATACATGAGTGGAATTGATGATTAGATATTGCAATGAAAATCAATACGGGATAATGTACATTCAGAAATAATAATATGAGTGTTATTCATCAAATACAATCAGATGGGAAATAAGACGAGTGTCAAAATAAGTCAAAATAAGTAACTTGTTAGAATGTTATAATGCACGTGAATTGAAACAGAATTTTAAGGTTATCTATTATCCTCCTTTGATTTAACTGACTGGTGGTAATAATATCTTTCACATCTCTGGTATTTGCATTTATTCATTTCTGTTGCATGTGTTGAGTGTAGACTCGATGAACTAGGCAGGATTCAGTAATCAACCTCTCTTCCCACCTACCTAGATTGCTTTTCAGAATTTTAACCCTCTCCTACCCTATTGTGAAGCTGTGTGCTAATGCATGCAGTCAGATTGATGAGCTTTTTTCCTAAATTACTTATCTTCTCGGGGCCAACCATTCTTACCTTGGCTAAATTCTTATGTTCCGACAATCTGATTACACCCGACCTACTAGTTTGACCTATGTAGTTGATTTAACTCACAGTCATTGCAAGGTATTTTGTAAATTATATTGTTTTGTTGAATTAGGTTCACTAAGTCTTTTAGCCTACAGAGCTTGTCTCTGAGAGGGTTTGTAATTCCTGCTTTATTAAGAATCCTACGTAGGGCCTCAGATGTCCCCCCCCTACTTGGTATCATTACTAGTTTCACCATTATTTTTATTTTGCTTTTCACCTTTTTTGACATTCCTAATGAATTTTATAGGATAGTAATTTAACAACAACGCCTCTTCTATCTGTTTCATTTCATCATTTAAAACCTTTTTTGTGCTACTTAGTGCTATTGCTTGCTTTGTTAGAGACTTAACTAAACCAGCCTTTACAGACAGATAACGGATGAAATGAATTAAAGTTTAAATATCTATTAAAATGCATCGGCTTTTTTTATAAACGCTAGTGTGCAGTTTACCTTTTTTTGTTCGTTTGATTTTACAGTCTAAAAAAGCTAATTCTAGTATTGGTTTGTAGGGATTTAATTGATTGGTACCAGGATTTCATCATGAGCTAACATTGGTTAGTGAATCAGTGGAAAACTACCTGGGAATACGGGACAGCTGTTTCATCCTAGTTTGGGACTCGTCAGCAGTACGCACCCACGGAGTTCGAACCCAGGACCTTCTGGTCACAAGGCGAGCTCGTATACCATTAAGCCACTGGGACCCGCTCCAATGGCCAGCCCATGAATTCTAACTGCTGCCAATTCACGATATATCGCAACCACTAGTCAATGTCTATGGCGAGTATTTGTCCTCACACTCGACCTGCTGCACGCTACTGGTCACGACTTCCCACTAGAACCCCAGGTAACTACCTACCTGAATAGGGCCAGTCACCAGTGAGCATCTAGTTGATATTCAAATATTGGTTTGTAGGGATTTGGTTGATTGATTACAGGATGTGTACTGTTGAAGAGTCCGAAACTAGGAGGAAACGGCTGTCCAGTACTCTCAGGTGATTTTCCAATGGTTCTCTAACCAATATCAGTTCATGATGAAATCCTGTAACCAAAGCTTATTCTCCTTGTTCATTTTCTGATTCAAATGTAAATTGTATATCCCCTTCACTAGTGAGTTTAAATGCAGCAAGAAGCTTTAAAGATATGTTTGGTTTTCAACACTGTGTGTGAAAGTGTCATTCACATATCTCCACCATATTACATTTGGAGTAGGATTAAATGTGTTCAGACCTTACATTCTGCAGTGTTTTTTATTTTATTTCGAATCTCATCCAACATGTACTTACTTGCGTGTTTCACAATCCATTAATGATTAATGTCGTTCGTTAGTATGTATACTTTAGAGATGTTATGTATGTTCTTACTTCATATTGAAAAAATATGTACAGGAACACTTTTAAATCATTCATTTTAATATTTGTCATGGTAGTTTTTGAAGCGGCAAATCCGCTTTTTACTAGAAATAATATTTTTAAAAAACTGATTATAAATGGGGCTAACAATGTATTCTTTGTCATTTAATTTATCTTATTGTAGACATAGATAGCCCCGTGTTCAACATGACATTGTGCTTGTAATGTGTGTCCATTTAATATGAGAAGTACAAGCCAAGCATCAAATAAGCATACATAATTCAAAAACTGAATTACATAACCATTGAAATAAAACACATATTTCTAAAAATTTTTTTTCTGGCTGTCATTATGGCTTCTTGATTGGACGCCAGTAATTAGTGTGATGTGCCTAGTCCTCTATTTGATACAGACTGAATCCTATCAGTCAAGTTTGCAGAGGAGCCACCACACCACTAGGTGACTCACCACAACAGCATCGTCTCATCATTAGATAAAGGTGCCAAATACGTCGGCTGCACGTTTCTCGGCTTCACTTCTGCTTTCGACTCTGTTCCTAGATGTCTCCTGCTAAATAAGCTCTCTAGGACAAAAACTGAGTCCTGGCTCACTAACTGGCTGCATTCCTACTTCTCTAACAGAAAGCAGTACACCGTATACAAGGGTGAATCCTCCTCTGCTGCGCTCGCTGAAGATGGTGTCCTCCAAGGTGCTGTACTCTCCCCACTTCTCTTTTCTTTCTTTCTACATGGCTTACCATCTTCAAATGACATTAATTCTGTCAAATACGCTGACGACCTGACAGTCTCTTTGCCTGTCAAATATCAAAGAGACTGCTCTAAACTTAATAGCTTTCTGTCAGAAATCAGCCAGTGGTCCAAAGAAAACGGTCTCACCCTAAACCCCTCCAAATGCCAAACAGTCAATTTCACATTTAGGCATAAATCCGACCTAAACAAACTGGTTAGCACTCACCAGGTGTACAACATAGATGGCACTGCGATAGAAACCAAGTTGGAAATTAAATATCTAGGCGTCATTATATCTGCTGATCTCTCCTGATCATCTCATATCTTGGCGATTTCTAAGAAAATATTCCGTCTTACCTTCTACATCAAGAAGTTAGGACATTCTGGTATAACCAAACCCTTACTCCTACAATTCGTTAACTCTCGCATCCTGCCTATTATTCTCTATTGTTACCCCTTAGTTTTTCCCGGGCTACTGAAGAAAGACTATACCTTATTAATCAGGATGTTGAAGGTTGTCGGCAGAGTAAGCAACGTGCCACTTAACCAGCTTGTTAATATTCTGGTTGACAGGCACATGGACTCATGTGAAAAATGGGCCAAATCCATTTTATCTAACTCACACCACCCTCTTCACTCACAACTCTCCCCTTGCATCTCATCACGCAAAACCAGAAGCCTATATAGACAACTATACGTTCGCACTATCAAGTACAAAAACTCAACCACACCCTACTTAGCTCGTGTTCTGTGTGATAAAGAAAGCATTAGGTGTGACACCTACAATTCATTAAATAGTCAGCAGTCCAACTGGACCTCGTCTTTCCAACTCATATAATTTATAGGTACAACATTTTCTTTCTTTCTTTTCCTTTTCTCTCTCTCTCTCTTTCTGGTATGTGGTGCTTTGTTTCTTTCTCTCGCTTACGCCAGTAAATATGACAGCACCTACTTTTCTAACACCTTCAAACACTGTTCAATTTTTGCTTTGCTACCGACATGCCAATATGTTGTTGTCATAATGAACTGAGATTTCCTTTATCTATGTAGAATTCTATTTATTGATAATGTACTAACTGGATGGAATACTGTAGTGAAATGCTGAGAATTCCATTCTGTATCACAAGTACTGTTTTGAAATAAAGCAAACTATTATTGTCATTATTATTATCACGATGCAATGCGAATTGTTGATGTTAGATGATTGGAGGCAATCGGCCACAGGAAGCCTCCCAACTAAGTTTAGTGCTAGTTGACACTTACCAGTCAGCAAGAAGGCGTATCTGCAACTGCCTTGAAGGAAATGGTGTCCCTTCTGAGATTCGAACCCGTGTCACCCAGTGGTGCAGTCAGAGACGTTACCAATGAGCTATTTGGGCCAAGCCCGAACACCTAACATTGTGTCTCTTTAGATGGATGAATTAATTGTTAGGTTTTCATTCTCTTTTATAGACGATAACCTCAGTGCTTACTTTAAAATGAACAAATACATCATTCCCGACAGCATAAGCTATATATCCTAACATGAAATAATGAAGATACGACTTTGAAGCTTGTTGCCTCGATATGACTATAAAACAACATGTACTGCTACTGACTGGCGGGATCGATTCTTTGAAATCTGCAGATTTGGGGGATATGCTGTAATACTACTCAGCTTTTGAAATCTTCTTTAAATGAAATTCCCGCCAACTTTTGGCTGACATTGAATGTGATTGGCTTTTTTGGGAGATTCTTTTTTCAGACTGTTGTTTTGATGTCATTTGGACAAAAGTGATGGTCAAATGACTAGGCTTTAACTGTGATTTGAGTCATTATCATTTGAGAAAATAGTGACTGATTAATTTGCCGTTAGGTTGGGGTCCTGGCTAACGATTGTAATCATCTGAAATGTCATTAATTGCCTCAAAGGTCTAAAAATCTTTTCTTCGACTCCAAGACAGCTGTTGATAAAAAGTCAGCAACCTGTTGAAAATGCTGTTGGGGACGCGTGCGCCAAGTCTCTGACCCATATATAGGAAATGACTGATTGAATATTGGTGTTGAAAATCAGAATCGTGTTCTTTGTGCTGGGGAGTGCAGGAGACTTCCGAACTGATTTCACACTGATGAAGGTCTCCCTTACATTTCCAACTCTGACTGGCTTTGACATCCTCATCCACGCTGTCACCTGTATTTGAAACCATGCTACCTGGTCAAATAAGTTATAGGAGTGACCTCCGTCAATAGTGATTATTGCTTGTTATTCGGTGTCTTCGTCACCTTTATCTTTACTAGGATCTTGAATTTCTATCCCTGCTGCCGTCAGATTTTTCTGTCACCTTGTTGGTTTTTGCATGTAGATCTTCGAATTCAGTGCATTAGACATAAATTGTCGGCGAAGTCTGGATCTTCTAGAGTATTCTTATCAGTGCAGTGTATTCCTCTCTTCTTGTTCCCTCTGCAAAGTCTTCCATATAATCCAGTTCACCACAATTAGGAATACCTTCGGTGATAATAAGAAGCCTTATCTTACTCTTGTCTTTAATTCGAAGGCTCCGCTGATTTTTCCGCTGTAGCCCAACTGGCGTGTGGCGTTGGCGTATATCTCCAGGGGAAGGCCGATAAATACCTGGGACACTCTGTAGTGTTGAAGTAGTTCCTAAACGACTTCGCGATCAATACTGTCGAAGGCCTTTTCAGAGAACCCCAGTTGAATATGTATATATATACTTAGTAACTGGTATTCTTTCGTCTTTGTGAATTCACCCCTAAAAAGCCCACTGCAGGAGACAGTCAGATTACAGTCGACTCACTGCTGAAATATACTTACTATTTCCTAAAACCTTCATTTTATTGAAAGGCAAACGGTTTTAATCTGTTGCTGGTTTCAATCCAGCCAAACACAGCGCAGTTCCGCTTGTACATCTCATGATGTTCCAAAGTTACAAAAAATGATTTAAAGCGTTTTAAACTATTTGGCCTGACTGCCTAAATGACATCGAATCGGAAAGAATAAGTTTAGTCAGTGTAACTTCTTTTTCGACTGAAATTTTTATAATGCCTGTCTTGCCCTCAAAGATTTATTTAGCATTCTCTTGGCTTTTTTGTCAGAAATGCACGCTAAGTCAGTGGATGATAGAGGTATTTATCACAACTAATTTACAATCAGTGCACTGTGTCATTTTACCCATTTGTGTTGTGGGCAGTCTCTCGTTAATACTGTTCACAGTCGCTTCAAGTTGTCCTGCTTAGTGATCAGCAGAATTCTTCCCCTCCTGATGAAAAAATCTCCACATATACATCATGGAATTAAATATTCATACTTGCAGTTTCCCATTAACATTTCTGAACTGAATTGATTAGTCTTATTTTGACATTTGTGTATCTACGGTTTATTAATAGGATGTGCGTCAGTCACTCAAAAGTTCCGGGTTCGATTTCAGGCCGGTGGCAGAAGTTGGAATTCATGGGTCATTGGATCGGGTCCCAAAGACTTAAAGGCTTATGAGCTTGCCTCATAATCGGAAGGTCCCGGGTTTGAACCCCCGTGAATATGTACCGTGAAGAGTCCCAAACTAGGACGAAACTGCTATCCAGTACTCCAAGGTTTTCCAATGGTCCCCTAACTGATGTCAGCTCATTGTCAAACCTGAACTGCTGAACCTTGCTTGATTCACTAGACTGTAGTAATCCCGGAATAGATAGAAGGCTGAAAGTGAGACTGGCAACCTGAACTCTTAAAAACCCTGCCACATCTAGTGAAATTTTGAAAGCTTGCAACGTTATGTTTCGCTTGGGAAGCAAGTAATAGGAACAATTTTTTGAAGAAGGACTCCATGAATGGGTGCGTTATCATTGGGAAGAAAGTTGCGTCTTACACACCCATTACTAGCCACCACCAGAACAAGTAACTGCATATTTTGCATTATGTTCTCTCATTTTCTCTCATCTAGTGAGGTGAGAATCATTATCTATCAAACATCAGTCCCAAAAATTTTCGGTCTAAACGTAGTTTTTAACAATTTCACCAAATAAGCAAGCTTGTCGAACGATAGTGTAGTTTTAAAGTGGTTGATAACTCGGCAAACATGGAAGCCCTATCTTCAAGAGCATTCTAACCCTGTATACCTCATTGTGCATGGGGATTGTATTTCCATTCCTCATAGATTTCAAACTCTTTTGATGTTAGTACATTTTCTGATTTTCTCTTATCCCTGTTCCTAATGGGTCCGTATTCTCAAGTATATTAATGAATTGTAACTATAATCAGCCTCTACCGTTTTTCTTCTGCCTAGCTCGGCTAGATTTTCACCCATGTAAGATGTGTTTCGTGAGCGATAGGGTAGTATTAACTACATTACAATAAACTTTCATCTGAAACAGCATTATGGTCATAGTACGTATTCCTCACTTGGGAAATAATAACGTGAAATAAAACAGTTTCAGAACAGCAGTACAGCTTAATTCATTAATGGATATATTGACCTACTGAGACACAGTAAAATAATTGA